ACTGTGTAACTGCCTCGAGGGTGCTTGACCATTTTAACACAACGTGGTGCGATCATCCCCCTTGCGCGGAGTGAGGGTTCTCCACCCCGCACAACATGATCTACTCGACCACCATTATGGTTACCGCCAAAAAATAAAACAGAGGTGAAAAAAAAAAAACGGTAACCTGGTTGCCGAGTTCACGAAGTGAATTGGCTTGTTTTACAACGTCGTTGCCAAGCGACGAAAACCCAATCCCAATGGCAAACACCGGGGGGGACGGCTTGTTTTACAACGTCGTTGCCAAGCGACGAAAACCCAACCCCGATGGCAAACACCGGGGGGTCCTTTTCTCAGCCCACACAATTATTTGAGCGTCTTACGCGGAGGAATTTGGCCCATTCCAAACGCCCAAAATCGCCGAATATTTCATAGGATCCCAACTGCCGCGTTGGAAAGTTGGCCCATTTTCCAAACTGGATCGGCTGATGATTTCCAGTTTGGGAATGGGGAGCGTCACCCCCTGGTCACACCCCGATCGTGCCAGAACGAGGAACTGCACCGTCTGCTGGCCAAAGAGAGGCCAGTATCATGAGGTCATGCCAAACCCTCTGCAGGTATCTAAAATTCAGGGCGTTCTGCGTCGTGTTGGCCGCACACGAGCCGATAACGTCAACCCTGTAACATTGCTCTGCTGACGTTCTTGCCTTTGGGCCGAAAAGAGCCGCTTTTGTGCCTGCTGCATGTGTGACGTCATTTGGTTTAAATTGGATATTGCTTACTAGTCAAAACGCAGGCCAGAGAGAGGCTTTATGCCGTCGACATCCATACACTGCAGCCAGTGGCGTGTGATCATATACATAGCCTCTGCCCGCGTCTCAGAAACAGATCATACTGTCGAGTTTTGATTGCACACGGCCTGTAAACGTGAACCGAAGTGTGTTGCGATGTTGACTTTTTTTGGACATTGGCTTTTTCTTTTCTGGTTGCTCCGAGCGTGATCAGTCCACAACGCATGCTAGACAGGCCTTTGGCCGACGACATCCACAAACTGCAGTCACTGGCGTGAGACTATACACATGCCTTCTGGAGGCGACCCAAAAACAGGGCACTCGGTGTCTTGTTGGTCGCACACGAGCCAAAATCGTGAACTCAAGCATGTTGTGACCCACGAAGACTTGAATCGGCCCTATTTTTCCCCTAAAAAAATCTGTCTCGAGGAACCGTAAGAAGGTCGTTCGGATCCAGATAATTTTTCCCTTGCAGACCACCCCCCCCCTCAACCGAGAGCAATAATGAATCTCCGAAATAATCACGATGTAAGACTCGGCCTCATGGAGGCATGCCTCGATCATTTTTCGAGATTCTTGCTGCCAACGGACCTTGACACGGCGACCTAGACGTCAGAAACCCCCTAACACGAGAAAGCTAGTTTTTGTTCACCGTAAGTAAGGATCAGGTTGCAGCACAACGCCACAGCAAGGGGGCGTTGCGGACAGCAAGCCACAATATTAGCACACACGCCATCGACGGCATCGTAACCGTTCAGCGTCGGGCGGTACAAGGATAAAATTAGATCGCTTACAAAAAAATCTGGCAAGAGCCTTCCCACCCTACCTATCTGTCGGGAGCATCCTCAACGACAGGCCTCGCTCTCTTGTCCTTCCATCTGACGTACTTCGCCCTTGCAACCCTAACCCTCACCGCGCGACTCTCTCATTTAACCGGAAGCCCGTACCCCGAACGTTGGCTGACCATCCATCTATCCATCCAACCAATCAACCAACCCCGCACACGCGGCGCAACAAAAACGCACGCACCAGTAAGAGCTCCACCTCCGTGGGCCGGAAGTAGCGGGGGTCGACCTTGACCAGAACATTCTCCGGGTCACCCTTCGCGTGCCCGTACTCCTCCACGCCCTCGCCCACCCACGTGATCTCCGTGCCAACGTACTTGAACGACTGTCATTTCATTGTTGTCATGTAAACAGTGCAAGTGGGGCGCGTATCCAGCGGGGGGAGGGGGGTTGAGAGGGGGGTACATGCACGGGACGGTGGCGTACATGCAAAAAAAAAGTGATGGAAATGGGAGGTGTGCCCTTCGCCTCCGTGTGAAGATGACAACATGACTATTTTCTTGCTTCCGTGGTTCCCACTCAACTGCTATTCAAAAGTAGACGATACAAGTACGCGGCCCCGCGACCTGGGGCCCAGAGTTTGGGACAGGGCAACACCGCACCACACGCCATTCTCAACACGGGGGAAGCGGTGCACAGCAACGATATACCTGGGTGCGCCCACTCAAGATACACGCCCCCGATCTACACTTCGCACGCCCTTGATGAGCGGGCATTTGCACAGTTCAATGCATCCACCTTCTTGATTTATTCCATCTGTGACGTGTGACGTGCCTGCCAATTTTACCAACACTACCCGCACGGAGCCCCCGACTGTTGAGTCTTATCATATTTTCGTAGTTCACCTCCTCGACGAACTCCTTGACGCTGTGGCACTCTCCGGTGGAGAGGACGTAGTCGCTGGGCTCGTCCCTCTGCACCATGAGCCACATCCCCTTGATGTAGTCCTTGGCGTGACCCCAGTCACTATTTGTTGTTCACGCCGTGAAAGCGAATGCACAAACCCATGGGGGCAGCGGGATCTTGATGAGATAACAAGTTCCCGCTGTTGGGTATGGAACTACTAGCAGACATAGCACCAAACAAATATAGTTTGTACCTTGGCATCAACTGAGAGCGAAAGATAAGCAAGTAGCACTCCTTCTCCCCCTCGCGCACACACACACCGCCGGGACTCTTTTTCTTGCTACCCGAACGTCAAAAAAAGAACAAAAACAACTCACCGCTTTGCGTCGAGGTTCCCCAGGTAGATGGTCTTCTGCTTGCCACGGTGGATGCGGGCGACAGCACGAGTGATCTTGCGAGTGACGAAGGTGGGGCCACGGCGGGGGCTCTCGTGATTGAAGAGGATGCCGTTCGTCAGGTGCATGCCGTACGCCTGGTGCCCCATTTTTTTTCCCGTGTTTTTCCGTTTTCAAGCAAGAAAAAGAAAACACGAGCCAAAACGAGAAAAAAACAGAGAGGGGCGTACAGAACGAGCACGGCAGAAACAAAGAGAATGGAGAGGGGGGGGGGTAGCGTCAAGAGGTGACCTGAAGGAAGACGTGCGTATCGTGTATATTCACGATGAAAAAACGCGGCATGCGGTGTGTTTGTGAGCCATGTTTCTGGCGCTCAAAGCAAGAGCAGCACAAAGCTTCCCACTGCCAGTCGGGAGACGAGGAAGGCGAATAGAAAGAGGGGATGGAGGGTGTGACCAGCCAAGACGACAAGTGCTTCGTGATCCGGAACGGTCGACAAGGGGGGTTGCGAGAGGTCTCCCGCGTCGTCAATGCGGAAGCAGAAAAACAGAAACCACCATCCGCATATTTTTTACCCTCCTCGCGCAAACCACCACACGGTGGGTGCACGCAACGCCCGCTTGCCGTCGGCGGCGGGACGAAAACTCAACCTCACCTCGCGGTAGTTGATGAGCATCCAGTACCCGAACTGCTTGGCCACGCCGTAGGGAGAGCGGGGGTAGAAGGGGGTCGTCTCCTTCTGGGGGATCTCCTGCACCTTACCGTACAGCTCGGAAGTCGACGCCTTGCAAAAAGAAAAAAAACGCGGTTAACGACGGCAGAGGGTGGGGACAGGGAGATTTGTTGAGAAGGGTTTATTTGCTTTCTGGAGGCCTTTTTCTTGGGGGGAGGTTCTACCCCGGCTCCGGTTCCAGCACCGAAAACAAAAAACAAGAGACGGAATAACACTACGCGAACTAAACCAGACGAACACGCAGCTCTACGCACACGCACAAAATAGCCAGCACCCCGTCAGGCGGTCATCGACGTTGAATTCTCAAGACGGGCGCAAGCTTTGGCCCCAGCGGTAAGCACCGCTGACACCCTTCCAATCTCCAGCAGCGGACAAGACAAGACAGCGAAAATGACACGATACGAAAACACGGAGGCGTACGTTCTTTCGTGTTTCGCGCGCCTTCGTTGTTCGACAAATAACCACGCGAGGACGAGGCCTTGTTCCCACAGAATCGATCACAGGTGGACAATCGGTCACGGCGAAGGCATGAGAAAAAATGCCTCCTCCTCCTCCTTCTCGCGCACCTGATACAGACGAGTCTTCTTCTCGAGGCCGGCGGAGCGGATGGCATTCAGCAGGCGGAGGACGCCCACGCCGTCCGCCTCGGCGGTGTACTCCGACATCTCGAACGACACCTTTACGTGGGACATGGCACCCAGGTTGTAGATCTCGTCTGGCTGCACCTGTTGTGTTGTGTGTTCGCAAAACGCGTTACAGCAGTGTAGCGTCCGTACGTTGTGTAGCGGAAGGGGGCGCGTTTGTTGTCGATTGACACAGCGTCATCGAAATTAGAGGGAGAGAGAGGGAGAGAGAGAGAGAGGGAGAGAGAGAGAGAGGGAGAGANCAAAGAAGGAGAGGGAGCGAGGGAAAACGGGCGTCACAGGTTCTAGAAATTTCGGGGTGGACGTTGGGGTTTCCATGGTGGTTGGCGTTGTTCGCCCATCCAACGCTGTGTTGAGGTACACCAGTAGTGATCATCGACAAGTGCCTCGAAACGAAACGGAAACAAGGCACACGTATACATCCGCATACTGTACGCACCTCGTAGATGATGTGCATGAGGTTGGTGGAGTCGGTGAGGTCGCCGTAGTGCAGCTTCAGGCGGACGGCGCTCTCGTGGCGGTCGCGGTAGATGTGGTCGATGCGCTGCGTGTTGAAGCTCGACGACCGGCGGATGATGCCGTGCACCTCGTAGCCCTGTATGTATCCGGAGGGAGGAGGGGGAGGATTAGACCGGGTTGTCGTTTCGCGGTCGATTCCATTTTGTCAATTGTTTTTTCTTGCGAAAACAGAGCGAATTTCATCGCTGTTCGTGCCACGCGGCATGGGACGGCACATTGCGCGGGAGACAAAAAAACAGGCAAGACGTGGAGTGCCATGTAAAGCGAGAAACATCTCGGGCAACCCACAGGTGTAGTGGGGCTCGCGGGTCATGCGCACGGGTGCAGGTTTCCCTACAATTAGGCGACGGGGGGGGGGGGG